TATTGAATCCTTAAGATTTGTAATGACTTTGATCTAAATTGATCGTTTTCACCTATTCCCATGAGACTTTAAAAAGATAAAAGACCGACGGCCATGTTGGAGGAATGAACAATAGATACTAACCAGGAATCCTTTGTTAAATTTCCTCCTAGATGGCCGTTGTGGCGTAACCTGAAAACGAAGAATATCAAGGAGTCGATTTCGACCGTGAAATAAAAGTGCAAGACCTAACTAATAACACTGGACGAAAAGTTGGATTCACTATATGTGTGAATTTGGTGTGAATTTAGTCGACTATATTTGCATCAAATTCGCATTCAGATGAAAATATGACATTCACGCCTTGCAGTAAATATGGTGCAAAACCAATGCAAATATTATATTTGCAACAGATTCACGAGGTGCAAATATAGAGGAGAAAATGAAGTTCGCATCTACTGTTGAGTTGAAAATATGAAGTGAATGTAAAATTAGTCAGTACTAAAAAAACATGTTCTATTATCACATAAAAGTAAAATTTTCAATAGYGAGCGAATATATAACTATCCGGACGTCGTTTTGTGACTTTTTTAGCCGTCGAGATGTTCTACACGCCAGTGTGAAGCCTATTATATATCCTGAGCCGCTGAAGGGTTCCGAGCCTTTGGAAATCGATTCTGACATTTCTCTTATTTCACTCTACTACTTTTAATTTCCTTTCACATCACATAGACACTTTTATATAAAAAATGCTTGTRCCTCTCGCCACACAGTCAATGTTACCCTCTTTTGGTTTGCGGTATTCCTGTGCTTAAAATAACCGTGATGCAATGGACCGGCGTCATTTGTCAAAATAGTCTCCATGTCCATTCAATCCTAATAGTCCGTCTTTTCAAGGTTTTTTGAGGTAGGTACTTCCTATTTTCTTTATCCTAATAAGCTATATATGCCTTATCAACTGCTTTGCTTGTTGTCATAAATTCTATTTTATTCAAACGACTCGGTTGTCGCTTGTAGTCAGCCGGCCGTAGCCATGGCAACGATCTTCGATTTCACGACTTAGAAATAAAAATATAAAGCCAAGYATTGATCCTATTATAAGATATTATAGTTCACACTTTGAAATAAAAAAATGAACTGTGTTTACTTCATTCATAAATGTGCTCACGTAACCGTAGTCTGCTTTGCGTGACAAAGATTTAAATGATTTGTAATAACACTATGAATATTGCTGCACTAACTCACCTCGTATTAACTTATATTACTCAGTCTGTATAATTAATGGGGAAGCATAAAGCAAAGGAGCGCATGAAGTACATAAGAAACAGAAGAAAGAAAAGGAAACTGCAGAAGAAAGAAGAAACCACAGAAGTAAACATGCCAACTGAGAAACAGCAAACTGAAAATGTTAACCCTCAAACTGAGCAAATAAAGACAACCCAAGAAGAGATGGAAGAAAAGTTCCAGAAAGACCCATTATACAAAGGATTTTTAAAATTAATAACAAATACAAGATAAAGATGTTATGGATACAAAAGATGTCAACATTTGACTAAAGTAAAGCAAGGGTTTTTTTATTTCTCTCACTTCTTGACACATGTTTGTATATATGTTAATGCAGCAAGAAGGGAATATGTCAGTTAAGAACTGTATAGCTTTGCCCAATCTATAACTTGTATGTTGAATACATGGACTAG